ATGTAAATGAAAAACCAATATCACCACTTGATAAAAAATGAAAAATTATATTAAATAGATATGTCGGAGCACTATTTTTGCATTTCCCAATAGTTGCACGAAAAGTAGGCGTTTTGGCGCGGCCGCTGGCGGCGGTCTGGTTGGTCCTACAGATTTGGTTGTTACATATATAATGTATAAAATTTTGTGGACTACAATTTTGTATAGAATAGTTTTTCTTTTAAAACGTACCGTTTTTGAGTTATTGGCGAAAATGTAAAAATGCCGCAAATAATTTGCTATTTTTACGGCTGCCGCAGTTAGCTCACCTCTGGCGTGTTAGCAAAGTGAAAATTCGGATTCAGCGGTTCAAAATACATATAAAACCGTTGAGAAAAAAACTTCGGGAATTTTTTCCTGGAAACGTTAGTTCTGGAACCCCCGTTATTTGATCCAATTAGTTTTACTACATTAGTTACTAAATTGTTGCTTCGGGAGACTTGGCAGAAAGGGTTAAGTTGGGATTCGCCAGTGGATAAAAATAGAGAAATTACATTTAAATACTGATACTTCTTTGACTAAGAAGCAGGATTTCAAGGGGTGACGATTCAGATGATTTTCTAGACCCTTATTTGTTAACAAATGATCATATCGTGGTGTGCAAATTGGTATTGGAAAGAATGTTACTACTAAGGTCTAACACGAGGGTGGTTCTTGTTTCATATGGTACTGAGGGATGCTACGCTAGACTAGAAATTACCTCCTAAACAAATTTGGCAAATTTTAAGGTCAATGCGACAGCTTTTTCTAAAAGAGATTGGTAGCATGTTGCAATTCGTACTCAAAAACTAGAATAGAGATGCACAACTGTTTCCCATCGGTGCTTTATTGATGTAGAGACGACAACGCTGCGATCATGTATCGTCCTAATGCGTCCAAAACATGGTTGCCCCGGTAACCCATTCAAGTCTTCTGACGTCACTCTCCATTCGGTGAAATTCTCTGCAATTTCTGTGAACATCCGAATGACGCTTGCGTCCGCCGCCTTTCCGCGACGATTGGCTTTAAAACATGACATCATGACACCCACGTTTTTATTTAATCGATAATCATCTTTAATATCGGAATGATAGCGGGATGACGCAAAAATTCTTCTGCCCGTCGAATAAATTAATTTAACGCTATTCGAGTTTTCTCATGATGTACTTTATGATGGGGAACTTTTAATCCCATGCATCAGGGTTGAAATATTCTTAGTTACCTAACCACTTGGGAGTGGATGGAAAATGCAAAATCTTTTATATTAGTAAATGAGTGACTAAATGTTGAATGCGTCGCGACGTGAGCGTCGCGGCGCATGCTTCTGACGTCAAAGCCGCCTCCACGGTTAGTCTGGTGAAGAACAACGTCCAGAGTGTTTATCGGGGGTGCTATCGGTTATATTTTATATTTTTTATGGTAAACTGTTTAGGAAAAGACGAGTGATGATGACTGTGAATAGAAGCAGATTATATCAGAGATACAGTGTTTCACCGATTCCAGTAGAACCCATTTGTAGGACAACGAATTAGTAAGTAGTAGATATATCTTTTCCATTATGGCCCAGTTTAAATCATATAGCAAACCGCGATATTTGGGCACATTAAACCCATAAATGAAAAATGCTTACTGTTATTGCATAGTGTGGCCCCGCTACCAAATTTAAAAAAAATAACATGTGGACCAGCATTTCTATTCGTTCGTGTCCCCATGGCAAGTCGATAAGCAGGTGATTTTAGTGAATGAACGGGGCGATAGGGACAAATTGATGGGAAGTGTGGTTGGAAGAGAAGATATCAGAAGGGATGGAGAAATGCGCGGATCAATACGTATGCTGGAGTCTAAGATACCGTTCACCGAACGTGGGCGCACATTTAATATAAAAAAATTTAAAAAAAAAACTCGATATCAACGTTTCTATTGTTGAAATATACCTACTAATCGATACTGTTAGATAGGAAGTTATTGATATCAAATCGAATCATTTGAATTATTAATTAACGTGTAACTTCAATGGCAAACGTTTTTATTGCACCGCATTGTAATATATAAACCTGCAATTAACATATCTAATTAAACAAATATAACACTGGTGCTTTTTAAGGGAATAAATTCGTTAATCCCATTATTTTGTTCATTCCTAATTGAATTATTCATTTATAATATCAGGATACATATACATTGCTACCAGAACCTCAGAATGCAAAAATTCAACAACCTTTTTCTTGTGAATAGTAATTAATTTGAAGAATTCTAGTGGAAGATTGAATTGTTGCTGCTTTCTAACACATTTTTCAAAGGGATTATTGCTATTATGCTAATGAGAATCAATACTAATACATTTCAATCCGGATGCAACCACGTGCCTTTTGACTAAGAGATACTTATGCACCGATATCGTTGGGAAAACGTTGAAAATGATTCTGGTATGCACAAACGCATTTGTATTTATACCTTATCCCCAATTTGAAGAACGATACAAATTATTTATTACCATTGGCGATTCGGAAACTAATGTCTTCACCTAATTATTCAGTCTACGGGGAGGTGATCCTAAAGCAAAGTATCAACTTTTCTTTTAATATTTTTCTATTTCTTTTTAACCGTGCATTCCATCGAACGTTAACCCTACTCATTTTGGTTGAGTTATGACATGCAGATTGTTTTTTGAAACTTCTGCATTCATCACATTGGGCCCAGTGGCGGATTTACAAATTTGCCGCCAGTAGGCTATTCCTTGCTTGAGCTAGGTCGCTATTGTGATCACCGTTTTTTGGACATGTCCAAATTTCATCAAATGTGGACGTGCATTTTAAGCAAGTTTTAAAGAATAAATTTTTGACCCAAAATCGTCATGAAACCTTCATTTCCATACGTATTTTCTGTCAGGAAATTTTAGTTTCCATGACAGAGGCAAATTTTGTAATAAAATACGATTTCGGGTAAAATTTAATACATAACTCGTCAGTAAAATGACATTATCTGCCTCGGAAATTAAAGTACTCGGCCCCAAAGGTGCCTCGCACTTCAATATTTCCTCGCCAGTAATGTGTAATTTTCCGGACTTTTATGTAAATAACTATTCCGAGATAACGGCTCTACGGTTTTGTTCAAATTTCGAATCTGTACCTATATTAGGCATAGGGAAACAAAAAACACCGGGCCGGATTTTGAAAAAAAATTTGGAGCGCCGTAAAGGCATCGAACTTTATTTCAACGCAAAATTTCTATTAAATTATTCGAAAGACTTTCTTGTTCTGTATACAACCTACAAAGATTATGGTATTACAAAAAAAAATGATCAAAGTCCTCGTGTGAGATCGAAGAGACTTCAGCGCATTTTTGTGTGGCAGATCAGTGTTTTATTAGCCAATATTGACTCCACCATCAATAAGATCTTGCCGAAAGCTACCACGTTCACTTTGTCGGTACCATTTTCTCACTTACCGTGCACTCGCAATTCGCGTTTGAAGTTTTGACTCCACCATCATTAAAATCCTTTGGGGGTTACCATATTCCCTTTGTCGACACCCACTTCTGATCACCCGCAACAATTCGGATTTGAAGTTTCGACTCCACCATCAGTAAGATCTCGTCGGGGGTTACCACATTCCCTTTGTCGATACACAGTTCCGACGTCCCGTTCATTCGTAATTCACATTTTGGTAGATTTCGCTAAAATCCCGGCATAAAATCGTATTCAACTTTTGGGTACTTCACATAGCTCGACCTTCTATTAGTGACACGAGAAAGAGAGACCGCGATTCGCGCTGTAAGAAACTTTTGGGCGCCCAAAGTCGTCTACCCCTCGAAGCGCGCCGCGCAAAAGGTGGTTTATGTCGCCCCTAGGAAAAAAAAACGAAATTCCGCGACGCAGGAGTTGTGCGCGTTGACAAGATCTTCCCGACGACACCAATTTGAAAACAATCGGAGAAAAACTGTAGAAGAAGATAGATAAAAACTGAAAAATCTCCAGGTTAGTATAATACGCTCGGGGATGGCGTCCAGATGTCGTCGACTCCAAATCTTGTAGCCCCATCCCTAACGTTCTTAATTACACGGCCCCGATAGTTACATGTACACTCCTTGTCTTTTTACAAGCGTTTTTCTACGGGCGCGCATTTACTGCCAGCCAGCCAGCCAGCCAGCCAGCCGACCAGCCAGTCAGCCAGCCAGCCAGCCAGCCAAAGTGAGATTAAAAGCTACTTTTTACAAAAAAAATTTTTTGCAAAAATGCACTAAAAACGGAGAAAAAAATGTCCACATTTTTGTGCCAAAACGGTTATTTTGATTTTGTTAAAATTTTGGCAGCGTTCATTAGACATGAAACTGTCAAACACTTTTGTTTTATACCTATCTAGTTTGAGCTAGGAAGCTGTTCTGTCAAGAATTTGGCACCTGATTTTCATTTTCACTATGGGATTTCGTAAACCGGAAGAGAAACAAAGTCGCAAAGTTATGCGAATCAATTTTCGTTTCAAAATTTCTTATAACTTCCCAAATTTCCAAAGAATGTGATTTTCGAGAATGCGCTGACGACCTGGCGTTCATTTATTTTCAAAGACATCCAAAAATAATTTTAACAAACCCTTAGTGATTTTTTTCTCAACTTTCTTATTTTTTATGGATTTTTACCTCGCTAGATAAAGTAAAAAATTTCAAAATCGGAGATACCAAATACTTAGTATTTCATTCGGAAATTAATCTTGAATTTTTACATTGCAGTTTACAATGTATTTTTTATAGCAATAAATCCATGGCTTGCTTAAAATTAACATTTTTCGTTTATTGTCTGGCATCAACGCGAATTATGGCCATAAGAAATACATTGTAAACTAATGAAACCAATGAAATACTAAGTATTTAGTATCTCCGATTTTGTATTTTTCTCTACCTCGTGTAAAAATCCAATATGGCGTCCATAAGGAATAAGAAAGTTGATGTAATTGACTTGAAACTCACAAGTCATAAAAATTTGATTTTAGCACTTTTTTTCTTCACGAATGTTTCATCTGGGGCGGAGGTGGGAATTTCCTTGGATCAGTTTCGAGTATTCTGCCGGCTTCTCCGAATTAGATTTTCCTGCAGTTTTCCTAATTCGTAAGGTAAATACCGAAGTGGTATAGAACAACTTATAAGACCTTTTGCAGGAGCACCTCTAAAAAGAATTATGCGGGTTACGCTGTAATTGTGCGAAAGCCTGTTGAGGGTAAGAGGAACAATAAATTAAAAAATAAGAAAGTTGATATTTTGCAGCCTGTGCATATCAATCGTAATCGTCAAGATTTTTCTTTGCTCGGGCGCCAAATATCTTGAAAACTGCAAGAGTAATTACGAACGGACGGACGGACAGAAAAAATGCGCTAAAAATATGCCGTCGCCCTCGTCGTCATTCATAGAGATTTTATTAAAGGAAGAATATCATTGTATTAAGGTCCCTGAATAATGTTTACCTTTCAGGTACGTCGCCTACGAAATTTTAATAAAAACTTTAGAATGTAGACCTCGGGAATGAATAGTGCGGACTATTACGTTAAAGAAACATGTGGTGCAGAATCCTAACATCGAAAAAACTGTTCCAATAACGCAGAGTTATGGATCGTACGTGGCAAAAAGTTCCCGGTTTCCCATTTTGATGCGGTTTTTGATCAGCATGTGTTACGAGACGCGCTCCGTAGTTTGAATAATTGAATAATAATGCCGGTCAATGTTATTTATAACATAAAAACTTCGTAATGTTCATTTGACGCTTAGTATTGACACTGTCTGTGGTATTGATAATTAATAACCAACATTTCTATTGTTTCAGGTTTTCTATCGTGGAAGGATGCCGGCGGACGATAGGGTAGCCAGAAGTGTCGCGTTGGAACAGGCGTATGTACATGATGTTTATGAGCAATTTTCCGAAAATCCTCGGAGTCGTCCCTGGCCACGCGTTCAGCAATTTCTTAAGGATTTAGAGCAGGGTTCAATCATTTGTGATGTTGGTGAGTTAATTCACTACATACCTAACTTTTATTGCCAAGACGAAGGAGTTTAAGAATAGTTACGTTTCATCATGGAGGGACAATTGAGAACAAAGGGTAAACTAACTCTATCATTGGAAATACAGAATATCTTTAACTAAGAGACGAGCAAAATAAGCAAGTTTTCAAAATAGATCAATAAAAGTAGGTACCTAACGTTTTGGTGGTGGGCTACGCATCCACAGTGAAATATATATGCTGGATGGAGCACTAGAATTTCAACAAAAGTTTCATTATCTCAGTGAGCGCATCTGGAAGTTAGATTTCAATTCAGAATGATTGTATTCGCTCTTGAGAAACATACAAACCCTTTAGGGTCGTATACATACTTTTTTCAAGTAACTAACGTTCTTAATGCAAGTTCACTACTAAGGAAATTTAAGTTTACCAAGGGAAAATGAACATTTGAATCGCAAAAAAAGTAATGAGACAATTTGTTAACAACAAATTGAAATATGTTCCAAGGCATAAATTAATAACCGAAGCAACGGAGTATGAAATGACCCGATATAACTCTTGTAACTGTAGGGAGCTTTGATCTCTTGACCCCAAATTCAATAGGGCTCTTATTTGAACCAGGAGGAATAAATAGTTTCAAAACCCGAAGACCTCCCGTTCAAAAGTTGTAGGGCGTTATAGGTACTTAAGCCCAATAATGGCAATCATAAACTCCTCACCGGAAGCGCCAAGTGGCTCAAATTTTTACACCACACGTACCAATCTTTCCGCTGTCTAACAAAAACACAATTTGCCAATTTTGTATTGGTTTTTTGTCGGATTTTTAGGCCATTTTTCTATTCTTAAGGGCCCAAAATGGCCCTTCAGCTCAAAACCGACTTCATTTTGGATTTCTACGCACCTGACACAGTAAGAAACAGAGTCCAAACGCTCCCTAGTCCAGGCAATGGAGAACATATGAGGATCTTAGCTTGCAAAATTAATGGTAGTTTTGGAAATAGACTTACTTTATGTCTTTTGGGTTGCTGAATCCAAATTTTTAACTTCCCATCCAAAATTCCCTCCGCAACTCCCCCTCAAGTCTGGAAAATAAGAAAAAATATGTTTTTTTAAAATCGTTTTTTTTCTTGCACCAATAAAATACTTACAAATCGGAAATGTAGATAATGGTATGCGACCAAAAACGTCCTAAAACATTTTGACGTACTACGCATGTAGGGGGCGCTGGCGTGCCTTGAAGTATCCTCATTGGCCACTCGGCGGCGTTCATGATCGCTCTTCCTCCTTCTCCTTTATCTTTTGTTTGAACCCCCTTCCCCCTTTAATCTCTTCTAATCAACTCAACCCTCAACCTCCAACTTTTCCTCGCCTATTTTCAGGCCAGTTGAGAATTAAGAACACATCTACATATTTATAAAATATAGACTTTGAAAAAAGAAGAGAGATTCAGTGCACAGGTTGTCCTATCTATGCCATATCTATGGAACCGTTAATTGCACAGCTTCGGGAAAAGGGGACCAAAAGAAATCGCTGGAATAGTTTTTAGCTTTGCCGCTAGAGGGCGTACGATTCATGGTTAAGTGGAAAAATGACTTTTTCCCTAAAATATACCTAAGAAACATGCATAAAAAATACATGCATAGCAATCTTATATCAATTTTGTATCATTATGATGCAGCACATATTGCTCTAGCTCATAAAATATGAGGAGTGGGGGAAGGGGAACATCCCTGTAAGGAACTGAATGTAACTTCGGATTAGGTTAACAGATTTTCGTATAAAATGTCCTGTTGGAAAGAACTCTCTTCGTGGAATCAGATTTTACATGAATAGAGTCTTTTTATTAATGCATTGACTAATAATAATTAGTCAATGGTAAATGTGATGAGTGTTAGAGGGCGCGGTGTGACATTAACATAAACTTTGCAGGTTCTTTTGAAAATTTCAAATGCAAGGATATAATTATTATATGATATTATCAAATAAAATGAAAAAGTGAGAATATCAGTGAAAACCGCATTTTGGAATCAGTTTTCTAAGCAGAGATATGCCGAAATTACGAACATTCACAAATTTTAATTGCGATATTGATGCTCATTCAAATTTCTTTCTTGAAGCTGCAATTATCGGTTCCATAGATATGGCCTGTGACCATTATTAATAGGACACCCTGTACATTTCCCTACAACTACCATTATCTCGTTCTATACTGGGGGGTCTGGGGGTATGGAATGTGATGTGTTCAGCCTGAAACCGTTCAGCCCTTAAAACTTTTTCCAAAAATTATGGTGTAAGTGTATAGCATCCGGGGGCCGGGGTGGGGGGGGGGAATACCCACCAAGAAAGACACATCATAGAACCTTCGGCACTGGGGGCATTCCGTACCCCCCGTTGATGCGTTTTGGTTCAAAAAGTTCAGTCCTTAAGACTCTTTGGTACACATTTTGGTAAAAAATATAAACCGGGCGGTCTGGAGGGGGGGGGGTATGGAATACCCTCTATTTTTTTTATTATCCCTCTCTTGTTTTGAGCCCTCAACAGGCATGCGCCCAATTACAGAGTGACCCGCATAATGCTATTTAGAGGTGCCTCTGCAGAAGGTCTTAAGTTGGTCTATACTACTCCGGTATTTACCTTACGAATTAGGAAAACTGCAGGAAAACCTAATTCGGAGTAGCCGGTAGAATGCTCGGAACTGGTCTAAGGTAATTTCCATCTCCGCCACAGATGAAAAATTCACCTCAATCCAGGTTCGAACACCCGACCTCCGGATTTATAACCCAATGCTCTTACCACTGAGCCATAAATGTATAAATCTATGTAAGACATCTCATAATACCTTCGGCACATGGAGGTATTCTGTACCCCCTGTTCATGCGTTCTGGCTCAAAACGTTCAGTCCTTAAAAATCTCTCCAAAATTATTGGTATTGGTAAGGGTACCATGCATTTTGGTAAAGAATATAAAGCGGGGGGTCTATCATAATATCTCCTATACTGGGAGGTATTTCCAGAGAGTGTTTCTCTGAAATACCTATACAAAATAACGGTTTTTTTTTCGAAAAAGAAAACGATATTTTTTCCTTTTTTCAAAATTTGGGGGGTTGCGGGGAGAATTTTTGGAGGGAAGTTGAAAATTCGGATTCATCGACACGGAAAACATAACACCCACCTGTGTCCTGAACTACCATGAATTTTGTAACCTAAAATTATATATTTCCTGGACTACCCTTGTTTTAGTGAATTTTTGCAAATTTATTCGTAAAAAGGTAGCTTTTTAAGATAATGTTTCGAAAGAAAATAAATTCCCCTTAGTATGTGATGGTTTTGTCCGTCCGTCTGTCTGTTCATTGTCTAACTCGAGAAGGAACAGAGATAGCGATGTCAAACTTTCGCCACGGAAGGTGGTTCGAAGACACTCTACCTTTCTTTTTCTTGTGAAGAGAACTCACTCTGTTTTTGTCGGGTTGATAGACAAGGAGAATTCCCTACAGAATTCTTCGGTTACTCTAAGAGCCGATTGCATCGGTCTGCATAGAGTAGCCTCAATAAATTTGCCAGTTATTAGTTATTAAGGCCGGATCTAGGTACATATTTTGCGCCTGTGGGCCCATCGAAATCGCCGCCTCTCCCCCTCCAACCAATTAAAAACATTTTATACCCCAACTAAAATTATTTTTTACTCTTCACAGAAAAATGTTGATACGATTTTCTTTCTCCTAATTTGCTCAGATTGATTTAATTATTTGTAAAATCATTTTTTATATTAATTATGAGATTTTTAAAGTGTTATTGAAACAAAGTAAATATGTAGTTTAAATTACAGACAAATAACCGTTTAATTTCGCCCTTTTTATTAATATTTCCTCATCAGTACATCAACAGGAGGTAATCATGGGGCTATCTATATCTAATTTTACTTTTAAGAATATACGTTATTACGTAGTATTTACAATGTGAAATTCAGAAGTGGTTTTCCAAAATAAAAAAAGACATCAATTTCAAATAACGTATTTCAAGTTTAAGTATTTTAAATGAAATCCAATATACAAACATGTAAATGTAGCCACTGAATTGTGTTTCAGATAATTCAAAAACGTTACGTGACGTTATTAAGTCCCTTCCCTCCAGGTACGACCATGAAATTGATAAAAACGGCTAGAGGGCACCTTAATTAAGCGTTTTCAACAAAAAATTTGCGGTAGAAGCCCTAAATTTTCCACAATCGTAATACAAAGTTCACATAATTTCGTCGAAATGTGAGGTTATTATATTTTGACCCATTTGGGCCGGTCTGGCCTTCTTTCTCCTCTTTTGCTCAGCGCCGTGGTTTGGATTGTTGATCTATAGAATAGGTTGAGGGGTATCCTATAAGGACGCTCGCTAGAGTGCCTAGATCTGAAAGATATTTTAGTCAGAGAGCATGGCCACTTCTGCAAAGTTTGATGAATTATTTGCTAATAGATCCACACGCCATAATTACTTAATTAAGATTTAACCACAACCAGCCAAAAGTGTTATTTGATTTGGTAGTGTTCTGACCAAAACATTTGGACATGGACGAACTTCTCTAAGAATGCGATTTGTATTACTCGTAGTATAGATTTAATCAAAGTCATTTCTTTATTTTCATTACTTCGTTTCAGGTTGCGGAAATGGAAAATATCTAAATACGAATTCATCACTTTTTAACATAGGAGGAGATAAGTCGTTCCGTCTCAGCGAGTTGGCAAGAGAAAAAGACAACGAGGTAGGTACAGGTTCCAAACACAATTTTTTTCTAAAGATTGATTTGGTCATTTCAGGTCATCGTAATAGACAACTTAACCCTACCATTTCGAGACGAAAGTTTAGACGCCGTGCTATCGATTGCCGTTGTTCATCATTTAGCTACAACAGAACGCCGAATACGTGCTTTACGTGAACTAGCCAGAGTTTTAAGAATTGGTGGTCGTATTATTATTTCCGTTTGGGCTATGGAACAAAGTCACCGAAAGTTCGAATCGCAAGATGTATTGGTGCCTTGGCATAGGCCGCAGCAACTCACCAAACCGTCGCTGGAACTAACGTCGACAACGACAACGTCTGAAGATGATTGCCTTCCTCCTTATCACGCGTACACTCAAAGTGACAGTGACTCAAATAGATCAAATAAGTATGTACTCACTTATCGACAATTTTAGCCATAGGGGCAACTCTTGGTCCTCAGAGCCGGATTTATTACCTGCATGTGAGCCTAGAAACCTCAAAACGCCAAATCAATATATAGATTAAAGACTCTATAACACTGCCGCACACTTTAGAAGAATAATATTGAATACTTTTAAAGGCTAATGTCTTTTTACAGAAAGTTTTTAGAGGTCTTGGAAACCCTTTCAAACTTTTTAAGCACACATTCTAGACTCAACGTTCAGGCGTTTTAAAATTTTCGTAGCTTACGTGCCAAAACGTAACATAAACGAGGTAGTTTGTGAATGAAGTTCTACATGGTCTATTATGACAATAAAGTTGAATGACAAGGAACTAGATTGTCGCTTATTTTTTTTATTAAACCGCAAAATGAAACCAAAATTAGTAAAAGCGGACAAAAAGCGCATTTCCACATGCATGGTGGGTTTGAATACAATCATTATCAGTAGTACATTATCATTTTTTCATTGAAAAATAGCCAATAAAAACAAAAGTATACCTCGGTTTGGTTGGTTAGCGACGTTTTTGACAAAAGTAATGGTCGCCGAATAGGTAAATCCTGCAGCATACGCAACCAACACGTGAATATATTGTGCAACTTGGAAATGCGAACCAACAAATTAAGGTTGAAGAAATTGACGGAGCCCGATGTGATAGGCATGTTGGTTGCTTATGCTGCAGAGGCGATCATTACTTTTGTCAATGACCGTACCATAAACTGTGGTTTCTATTGGCTATTTCTTAATGACTTTACTGATATAGTGAACTAATGATAGAGATTGTACAAACCCACCAACCATAACAGTCTTTAAAAAGATAGTTACCCTAGTCCAGCGGTTCTCAAATTTTTTGGTGACGGAACCCAATTGTTTTTTTGGCTATAATAAATAACACAAATTTTTATGTGGAACAACTTTTCTTCTGTAACGTTTTGTCATATTTTAGAAACCAATTTCGAAAGAAAATTTAAAGGGCTGTGACTTTTGAACCAGTAGCCCAATCTTGGAACTGTTTGAAATTATGGATTCTACGGGTCACAATCTATAAGAAAATTTTTTTTCCCGGTCGATCTGAGACAATTTTTTTTCGGGGCTCAAAAAAAGGCAGTGTATAACCTTCCTTTTTTACCAAAAATCGACTAAACCAAAATTTCTCGGGAAAACACTTTTTCTTATTAATTTGGGTGCGTAGAATCCAAATCAATTCGTACTTTTTCGATCAGACTTCTCAATCAAAAGTTATAGACTAGAAACAAATTTCGAAAAAAAATTCAAAGGGCTGTAACTTTTGAACTAGTAGCCCAATCTTGGAACTGTTTGAAATTATGGATTCTACAGGCCACAATCTATAAGAAAAATTTTTTTCCCGGTCGATCTGAGACAATTTTCTTTTCGGGGCTCAAAAAAGGCAGTGTATAACCTTCCTTTTTTACCAAAAATCGACTACACCAAAATTTCTCGGGAAAACACTTTTTCTTATTAATTTTGGCGCGTAGAATCCAAAACAATTCGTACTTTTTCGATTACGAGTAGACTTAACAGTAGCCAAAATATCCACTGTGACAGATAAAATCAAACGGACTGTATACAGGGTGTTTCTTTTATTTGGTTCGCCATTGCTATCTCGAGAACTATAAGAGCTACGAGGTCGGTTAAATTAGCAAACAATTTCTATTTTACAAGACTATTTTAACTGCCAATACCAACTTTGTTATTTTAAATGGAACTATATTTTTTTATGTCCTTATGCGATAGAACATTCTTAATTCAGTGATATAAATTCGTATACCCTTAGGCACAGATCTACACATACACAGATTGCTAACCTTATGCATTTTTTGAGAAACAAATTTAGGTATACTTAAAAGCGCCCTCTATTGTGGAGCAGTACAAACATGTACCGTTTAAAACTGTAATATGACGCTTATTGATTTTTGCTAATGTCGCTGCAAAAAATTTAAAGCGGTAAAGTGTGCATAATTCGAATTCGTTATTATTGGCATTTGATATTTGTAATCGGTGAATTTATTTTGTGATTTGTTTATAGACACGTATTCAAGAGATCATATATATGTAGGTATACCTACATACGTATTCCAAATCTTATCGGCGTGGTAAAGAGTGTAACGTTAATTATGGCAGAGATATACATATAGTTTTTAAGTATACCTTTGCAGTTAGCAATCTGTCAAGACCTTTAAAGCTGCAAATAATTTCCGCCCACTTCAAAAAACCTTCACGATTCTTTAAGAACCTGCCCTATGTTCGTGTGTATCTGTGACCACAGGTACCCGCTTTTAATAACTCCTTTACGACGAACGAGTAGCTCCAGTGTTAAATTAAACAATTATGGCTCAGCGTACCTCCTATCATATCATATCACAGTAATAATACGAATATTAAGGAATTCGAATTGTGCAAACTTTAGCGCTTTAATTTTGTTTCAGCGACATCTAACGCATAAAACCATAAGCGTCATATTACAGTTTTAAACGATACATGTTTATACTGCTCCACAATAGAGGGCGCCTTTAAGTATACCTAAACTTGTTTCCCAAAAAATGCATAAGGTTAGCAATCTGTGTATGCTTAGATCTGTGCCTTAGGTAGCAATTTTTATGGGTGTGCTATGGACGATTCTTAAAAACAATTCATTTGAAACAAAAACACAAGAAATATACGACCCTCTTTCAACGCTAGCTCCAGCATGTAATGTATCATTCCTTCTTAAACGAATCGAAGTTTTTCATCCAATTAACAGAGCGTCGTAACGCGACAAACCAATCAACACTTCGCTACAGCACGCTCTTTTCAGTCACGTAGGTAAATTTTACGCGGAATATACGAAAACAAACACTTTTCCGATTAAAATACATCCTTATCTTTAGATAATTACTTCAACTTTTTATAAAAATAAACGAAATGCCCAATAAATTAAATCTGAACTGAACTGATGTGTTGTGGAGATAACTGTCTTCAGGAAGTTGTTTACGTTTTGTTCGTCCGTTCGTCCGTCCGCCCGCACTCACTTCTGCCGTTTTCAACGACTTCTAGGAGAATAGTCCTAGAATCCTGGAACACACGTTCTACCCTTTATTAAACGAGGGATTTGAGTGGGTGGGAGGAGTGGAACTGGTTTTATCCGTCATGGTACTCTAAGGAAAGGTCTTAACGAAAGGAATTAATTTCTACCGACCATAGCTTTCAGTGCAAATATCTGCAGTATGGAGCATCGGAAGATTTTGAATGTATACCAGGCGGTCTTTAAATGTTTATGTGTAAAGACCTCCTTCCCATTAATCATCTACCAAGAAAGTAAACGTCAATAGCATGTTACTACCTTATAACCCAACCATTTACTAAGCTATTTCGGTTAAAAAAATGCGCTTTACCTGCACAAGAGTAAATGATTACTGTCCCAGGGGCCGAGGTCTCGAAGGAACAGACAGACAGACGACACACAGACAGACAGACGACGGAAAATTGAGCATATAAGCGTTACCGCAAGTTGGAGTTCTGTATTTCGCATAAACCAGGTCGCGTTAAAGATGATGCGAATTTCTTTTATTTTGAAAAACTTCAAGTTTCCTAAGGTGTGTGTGGGAGGCTGCGCCCTATATCTGACATATGGGAACTGGCCTGAGAATTGATGTCTAGATTAGACATCTTACGTCGTGTTGGAGGGGTGATTTCCTGTTGACAATGGAGTATTGTGGCAGATGATTCGCGAGGAAGCTATGACTGAAACAATTGATGCAATGTAAATTTCTCTATGGCCCATTTTAAACGCCTTTACATTGTCGTATGGCCCATCTTAAAAAAACACCCTTTATAGCATTCACACAACAATAATTATTCAATAATAGTAAACTGGCAGTTGTAAACAACATAAATAGTCATTGTTTCGGTTACAGCCATGAACTTATAAATTAAGATGGACTGCTGATCAAACAGTTGCATAGAGGAAGAAATGGCCCTAGCATGGGCGCAGCCATGATGTGCAGGTTTTAGTTATTTTCTAGGGGAATTTTCCTAGTGCTCAAGTTTTGAGACTATTGCAGCCTTGGAAAATGACATGTGCCACCGTAATGTATTTAGAAAACGTGAGGTTAATGCTTGTTTATTAGTTGATTTGAATTTCGCGCCAAGTGAGTGCACATCATGGCTGCCTCCATGTAGGTGTCATTTGTCAATTCAGCATTAGCAGCCCATCTTAATTTATAAGTTCGTGGTTACAGCATTCTAAAATTTGAATCCATATTCAACTTGTTTCGTCCATGGCACGTACGTTTATTTTAGCTATAATAAAATAAATCTAAACCCGCATTTTACTCATAAAACTTGTTATCTACAAAGATTATATCACTGAATTCAGAATAAAATTCTCTATCAAATAAGGAAATAAAAAAATATAGTTTAATTTAAAACAACAAAATTGGTATCCACAGTTTGTGAACCACTGGTTGAAAAACATTTTCTTCGTGCTCACTAACATAGTCTTGCAAAATAGAAATTGTTTGCTAGTTTAACCTACCTCGTAGCTCCATATAGCAATAGTGCACAAAATAAAATGAACACCCTGTATAGTGTTGTGTGCACGGTCTCTAAGCCACTAAAAAAATATCATGAAACTTTTAAAATTCAGGATCGTAATCTAGGCTATAACTGATACAAAACTTTTAAACACAACACAAATTTATTCGATAATTGCTGTAATAAAAAGTAGCGACAGTACCAGCAACAAATACCACGCTACAAGCGCTCGATCGAAATACATTAAATAAAGTTTTAATTACCTTGTAATGTCAATAATGCAAATATCTAACACTGACATTTCCATTAAACAGACAAGTACAAAAAACCACAAACACTAATCGGAATTCGCCTTAGAATCTGTACTTCTTCTTCTAACTTCCGTTAAGACATTTCTTCTTCTATTTAACACATTTTCCTCTCTTGTCCCATCTTCGATGCCACTCCCTAATTCCTTAGTTAAAATAAACAAAATTCTCTTACCTAAATGCGCACCTGCGACAACATCTGACAAACACCTAATACAATTATAGCAATTATAGCACCTTATTTTTTCTTAACGTAATTTTCCAAGAAAATGAACCAATTAGATATTTAGACAAAACATCGCCTAAACTATGTAAATTAACACAACAATAGTTTCAAACTTGGCGCCCCCGAATTTGGTAAGGAACAAGTCTCACTGCCTTTTTGTTGATAGATAAGTTCTACTCCTTTAATAGGGGGTTTTTGTAACCACCATTATTCGGCAATATTTTGTTGTTTAACATTTTATTTCCCACTCTTTCGTTATTTAGAGATTTTTTTTCTTTTTTTTAATTATAAAACCTGTCAGTGCCCTTATTAATTTTTCAAAAATTTATTATAATTACATCAATATCATTAGTCTACACATCGTACATCAAAATAAAACAAATGAATGTGTTTCTTATTAAACCTTCAAGAGTGAGGACAACACGAAATTGGCAATAACTGCTTTAGCAATTTCTCCCAGAATACTCAGACATTCATTTCAAGCTTTCCGTTATGGTGCCTTGCAGTTAATAAAAAAAATATGTTGAACACTTATTGCGATGAAAATCATTTATTGCGAATTTCATTTTGTCTTCATACACGTTCATTTGTTTTATTTTGATGTAGGATATCTAGATTAATGTTATTGATGCAATATTATAATAAATTTTTTTGAAACATTTTCTTGTAACCAACTAACATGTTACATTGCCAAAAAGAAAAAAAATCTCTATCAAATGAGCGTACTGAAAAGGTGCACTGCGATTTAAAAAAATCAATTGTTTTTAGTTACTCATTTAGTTTTCTGAAATAAAAACAACTGAATGCTGCCTTATTATGGGAAATAAAACGTTAAACAACTTTCATATAGAAAAATTTTATATACAGCCGATATTAAAAGAGATATTACTCTATTCCATACATAATGGGCACCCTGTATGTTGAATAAGAACAAAATTGCAAACAGTGTTTAGATACAGGCTTTCTCACGCTGAGTTACATTATCAATTACATATAATAATCAGGCCCCGGGCTATGTTTTTAGTGCCCTGGGCTATATTTACCTCGACGTTCCCGTTGTTTAGTAAAATAGCGTGCTTAGTGACCAAGTTTCATACGGTTATTTATTTATATTGATTTTGAAACAAAATTCACCAAGAACCACAGAGAAGGGGAATTGCAAGTAATGCAAAAAAATGTAGCACATTTTGCCGCCCCCTCGAAAGTGGCGCCCTAGCCCATTTATAATCCGCGGCCTGATAATAAGAACAATGAGCAGACCCATTAACAATTTAGTTGCCGTCAAAAAGTAAGGGAAAGGAAGCGTTATTTTCCTTTTCAATTCTCCATTAAACCATTTTCGGTTCGATTCGCCATTATCTTTGCGCCTGCTGGACCCTCTATTTGGGTGCGAACAGCTCTGAATCTCTAGGGGTTAGGCGGGGTGTCGCTGTTGTTACAAGGAATTTTTTGGTAGCTTTTTGGGGCGAATAAATAATCTTCATAGGTCGAGGGAGATCTTCTAGAGGAGTTTAATACTTCAGCACCATCCACTAACATGAAAAGATCCTATACCTTTTATTGATCTCGTTGATTTTTGGTAATTAGCTTGCAAACAATTAGTTTCGAAGTACAGTGACGTTAGCCTCAATACAACTCACTGTTAGGTATGCATTAAAAACACAGAAATTTCTCTGGCTGGACCAAGAAACTAGGCGCTCTTTCATTGAGAGTTACACTAATATTACAATTATTGTTAGTATAACATCCAGTTACATAGAATTTATACGTATCTTACTTTGTTTGCAGAATTAAAACTGGATTAAAGAAACGCGGAAAGACGAGACATAAAGGTCGTTCCATAGATCCAGCAGGTAGTTCGTCACCTAGCAGTTCCAGCCTTTCAAGTCCGAATGAAACCTGTTACAGCTTCGTAAGAAGGGCAATTCAAAAGTTAGCAGGAGGAAGGCGAGGCGTCCACCGTCCATGGTTTCTAGATAGTTGGACAGCTTGCACGAAGGATTCCCAAACGAAGCGGTTCGATCAGGATGGATGTACCTGTTGCGAATGCGACGATGTACAAAACTTGCCCATCGAGTTGAGAAGAGTAGACGACGATGAACTACCACAACGTAGACAAACGTTCCCCTCGCCTCACTCCTTCAGCGATCTTTACGCAAATTTGAAATCTAGAAGTTTAACGGACATAAAAACGGTAGAAAATAATAATATTGTACGCTCCAAATCAAGTGTGCCTAGTATACAAGAAGCTTTAAATATCGAAGATAATAACGATAGTAGAGATAAATGCACAACGCCGTCTAAAAAACCTAAATTAGTAAAACAAAAACAATCAATATGCGACGAAGACGAAGAAGAAGCACTAGACAAGCCAACCGACATGAAAATGAACAATTGCACTTTTCCCGATAACAAACATGTTTTAACGTCTCGTCACAGGGGGAGCGTTTTTAAACAACGATCCTTAAACGAGGACCTAATGTCTGTAGAAAGACTTCGCGAAAAGGAGCGAGTGAAGCAAAATATTCAAAAGCAAGCATCGTTGAATGAGGATCTTATTTATAGTAGGCACCGCACTTTTGATTCCTTACGAGATTCAATTTTTTCCGTATCTACGTCCAAAAGATTCCAGCTTATTAAAACGGGTTTTACGAATAAAATTAAAAATTCCACCACCAACATTGAAAAGGTAACGAGCTCCTCTCTTCGGAATGGATTCGTAAAAATGTTGCAAAACTGGAAAAGCGGCGATCTAGCATCGCCAATTATTCCCGAGGACGAAACCGTTGTAACTTCGCCAAGTAAAACTGGAGCCATGGGAAGCGAGGAAAAGAAAGAGTCTGCGTCGACGGATGAAAGACGCCATTCAAAGGAGGATGGTTCCGATTCGTCCAAAGATAGCAGTCTCCAAAGCGACACCAGTGTAGATTCGGAAGATAGTTTCGCTTCAGTTATTTTCGTCCCCAAGACCGATCCAACATCTCCATCAGCTTTATCCCCGGGGCCGACATCATGTAGAGCAACTAACGCATCCGTCCCAAATTCTCCTAGAATTAAACAATCGTCTTGTCCTACCAGCCCTAGGATTAAACAAATGCCGCTTTCCGTATACCCTTTAACCAAACAATTGAGTTCTCCCAAACCCACAAGCCTATGTTCGGAATCTCCCTCTTCGCCAGTTTCGAACGAGAAAATCGAAAGGGACCAAAAAAGTACAACGGACGAAGAGCCGAAGGGAAGTAAATCGCTTGTTCAAAGCTTAGCACAAAAATACGCGGTACCGCATATTCCGAAATTTAGAAGGAAGAGTTTAAACGCGAAAACCGAAGGGGAGCAGAATAATTTATCCGAAAACAATAGGGAGAAGAGATTGAAATGCATCAAGGATATTCTCAGTCAGAAGCCTGGTTTTGGAATGCGCACAATGAGGCCTAATTATCCCATTGTGAGGAGGTCCTCGATGAGTAATGGAAATTTTGATACACTAGCGCGTCCGTTACCTAAGCTGCTGAGTTTGGAATTGTTTAATCCCGAAACCGACGATAAGGATAGCGATTCAAGCGCGGTGTCTTCGCCGGATTCAATCGAAAGCGTGGTAGAGAACAAGTCTAAGAACGCGCACACTAAGTTTAATTTTCCTCCGGCTGTGATAAAAGATTCGCAAAACTTGTCAGGAGCGAACGTAGTGGATAAGGTAATTAGGTGTGGTCCACGGATAAAGGGAGCGCAATTGAGGACGAGCGGGATTAGGCATAAACGACGCGATAGCGATTCCGTGCCGTTACTTAGCGCAGATGCGACGAGTGGCGAGGGTCCGTCGTGGGACGAGGAGTGCCACAGGCACTTGACAGATTTTGCGGATAAACTAAGCGAGAAGTTATTGAGAGAAATCGATCAGTACCAAGAGAAGAGCAGTGAGAGTGAAATTTTGGATCCGTACATTAACCGGTTAAGCGAGGAATTAAACGATTTGTCGAAATTAAGCGAGGAAATACAGAAGCAGAACGAGTACTTGGCAAAGTTAAGTGCTAGTGATAATTTTTATAGTAACTTGCAGTGCGAACAGAGAACTAGTAGTAGCATAAAAAATGAGGTAGAAGCAACGAGCAACGATTTAAAACCGATATGTAGTGAAGTTAGTGAATCTCGAACCGAGGATTCTCATAAAAGTTTAGTTAGAACAGATCCAAAAATTTCCGAAAACGTAGCCTGTTCTGGGAAGGTGATCAACAAAGCTGTTTTAAAAAAAGGATCTTCCGTGGAGTCTTGCGAATCTGAGAAAGGAAGTAGCAGTAATTCTATAATATCTAGTGTTGCTACGTCGGTTCATTTTGGTTTGTCAATTGAATCCAATGACGGAATTTCGGAGAAGGGTAGTAGCGACTCTCATAAAGATACCAGTTCGATAAGTAGGTACAGTTACGGAGGAAGCACTGCTTCTTTGGTATCGTGTCCGGAATGGACGGTTACTAGAGCCAAGTTTTCCGAGGAGCAGTGTTTGCTACCGGTAAAAAAAGCCGATGTTAGTGTAGGTAAAACTAAAGATAAATCTAGTCTAAATCAATCTTTGAGCGATACATCGCAAGAGTCGCTACCTTCTGACAATATGGGCGGTGCAATTACGTATCATAGGTATTATCATGTTTTTAGAGAAGGTGAATTGGACCAATTAATAGAAAAATATGTACAGAATTTGCACATAATTTCGTCGTATTACGATCACTCCAGTTGGTGTGTCGTTGCAGAAAAGGTTCAGGTTTGGACTATCTGACCTGGAATCGCGTCTAAACCACGTTATCGATATGAATGCACAATGTATATATTATCCTTCCGCATGTAGATCCTTTCAACTTGTAGTGAATCATAAACTCATTATAAAAAGATAACATTTTCATGTAAATTTTAGCTAATATTATAATATCTTGCCTACTAAGATCTAAGACAGAGACACAGAGTAGATCGTCGTTACTATCCAACAATAGAAGCATACGAAAATTATCAAAACGCGTTTTTTGGATTTTCTAGCTTAGATACCTACTATTAAATGCAAGCTCAAATGATCATACATTACCATTGATTAATCTTATTTATTTTACAATAACTGCTGCATATAAGGATGTAAGACCTAAGTTGTTATACGATGCGTATAATTAAAATTAATTGACACTATATTTTTGTACGCCACCTTTATTGTGTTAAATCTTATCGCTGTTAGGATCAGAGCTGTGAAGATTAACGATCCTATTTATTGTCATCTCCCGACAAAATATAGGTTTATTCACGTTACCTGTTATAAATATATATGATATTGTTGAATAAGATGTTGAAATTTTCCCTAGTCTTCACATTGTAATTACACATAAAATTGCAAGCTCAAAATGTGCGAGACAATAGATGATCTCTTCTGATTCGTTAGAAAAACCAGCAGAAAGAAACAATCCGCTTCACAATTTTTTTGTTCCACGATCAACCCTACAGAAGACATTTGAAGCACTTACCATCCCTGACCAGCAAAAACTTTTCAAATACCTGGGGCTTTTAACCCCATATCCACATCCCACATTCAAAATTCACTCATTCTGGAAACATCCTTTATAGTCCCCCTCTTTGGGTATCCATTTTTCCTTCTATAACTCGAAATGGGGTGCAATGATATTTTAATGATATTTAAGTTCTTAAACGTGGATTATGCTTCATAGTTAAAAAATTTCTACAACAAATGTAAGAGACCATGTGACTTGCTAAAAACCTGTCATATAACGGAAGCATTACCTATACGGGGTAGTTTTTTTTTTCATTTTAAGCATTGGGATCTCGGAAACCATGACATACAGATTCGGTTAAATGAGGGAAGAGTTGTCGTTTTAACACCTTATTTAAGATATGCTTTTATTTTTTGAAAAAAATCCACAGTTCACTAGATATGAGCGAAAAACAGATTTAGTGATTTTTCATTTACGTGTTGTAGAATCGTTATTATTAGAAATACAGCAAAATGACACGAATAACAGTTTTAGACATTTTAATGCTTAACTAATGCTAATTTATTTTTAGATCTTACAATTTTTGAGTTATAATAATACAAACTTTAATTTTTTTAAATGGTAGTCATAGTTGGCTTTGACATTTTTAAAAAGGACAAATTTGTCTCTTTATTACGATATAAGGCTAGCTTAATGTATTTTAATAAATAAACGCCCTGCAGTAATTTTCGTATTATTGAAAGGTAAGTGAACAGAGTTGGCCATGGAAAACAATATCTAGTGAGATAGGTACCTTTCATTTACGACGAAAATTGGACAGGCTAATGTTATCTTCATTTTCTACCAAATGAATTTCAAGATATGTAGGATGGGTTAGATTTGGAAACACGATGTAATTTACGCTGGTTCAACACAACGGTGCCCCGCCGCACAACTAACTGTAAGTTAAATATATAATACACAGTAATTAAGAGAACAAAAATGTTTCCCATGGCAAAATCTGTTTTTACTACTCTTAATAAATACAAACAGTTCTGTATCATGTTTATTTGCCAAAGTACAATGAACCTTATATCATTGTAAACAGAAAAAATGCACTTTTTAAAAATGTCACAGCCAACTATGATTACCATTTAATAAAATGTAAGTTTGCGTTATAACTCGAAAATTATAAAAGGAGAATAAATATTAATAAATGTATCTTATTAAGCATATTTTGCATATTTCTGTATTTCTAATACTAACGATTCTACAACAGTTAAATGAAAAATCACTAAATCTGTTTTTTGCTCACATCTAGTAAACTGTGAATTTTTAAAAAAAAAACAAAAGCATATCTTGAATTGTTGGATCTACTACCTTCCAATGTAGGTGCAAAATATGCAACAAATCCTGTGGATTATACCGAAACATTTCAAAACGCTGCAATCTTATGTGTAATATTCTTATTTCTTACATTTTGAGTCCAGATCCTTATACCTACTACCACCTACCTCACAAAGGTCTTTCCTCTTTCAATGTAAAATAAAATCGAACGGTCGATTATTTTTACAGCTCTGTTAGAAGCATGGCAGAAAATTGAAACTTAGAACTAAAGAGGAAAAAATCATATTTAAAAATTCGCTTTGATCCTCATGGTAGCAAATTTCAAGTTTATATAGGGTAGCAAGTTTACTATTTTTCATATCTATCTTGAGAACAATCTATTAAAGAGTTTGAACTAAACAATTTAATAGACTGTAATTGTAGAATTCTAATACCAGAAGACAAATAATTAAAGTTCATAAGCGAAAATGTGCACATATACATACTTATATATCTACATAATTCGTTTTGTAACATATCTGCAACATTTTTTAACAATCACAAGATGTTAATAGCTATTTTTTTATATTTTTTTAATATAACTGGAATTTAGTAAATTCATTGCATATTTCTCTTTTAGTCGGAGAGGTGCGAGTTGAAAGAAGGAGAAAGATAACTTATTATGTAGGTCCGTTTGCCGCACAACTGTTTTAATCTACTTTGAATAGCTACCATTTTATAAATGTTAACAAATTTGTGCCTCTCTTTATTATCAGGTATAAAAAATTACCTGTTCAGATTATCTTTTGATACTTATAGCAAATTGAAAGTTTCAATGGTTTAATCTGTTTCACTCTATCCATTATATCAATATGTACAGTTGGATTTGACTTGTTGTGTTCAATAAAAATATATGCAAACGTTTTTTGGAGGCTCATTCATTTACTGTCATCCAGTGGTGGAGTAGCTGGCCAACTAAAAGCACCCTCATACACCCTCCCCCCCTCCCTCGTCTTCCATTCGCTACTAAATTAACACCTTGGTAAATACAATGGAAACATATATGTAGAGGGTTTTCCAAATTGCTTGTTTTCGACGTTTTTCGACGATATTTTGAGAACGAAATGAGATAGAGTGATGCAGTTTGCACTTCTCGCAACAACACAAAAGTAAAAAAAATGCAATAAAGTTTTTTAATTTATGACTCAGTTATTTGTGGAAATATAAAAAAAATGTAAAAATAAGTAAGGGAGTATTTTCATATTTTTCATAGCCTCCCTAGTTTTTAAGAAACATCATCAAAGTTTGCTCAAAGTGCCTACTAAATTTTGTCTAGTACAGCAAATAATTGATCTTTAGAGAGGTTTATTTTTCTATGAATAACATTGCGCCCCCCCCCCCCTTTACGCCGCCACTGCTGTCACCGATTCTTTATCGTTTGTAATAATGTAAATGGTCGACTAATTCCAATGCTCAAAAATTCAGTATGGAATTTTTCATCTTTTAACGGCAAAATTTAATGTCTTCTCGTCCTCGGATTGGAGGCATCTGTAATCGTTGAAATAAAACAATTTATAATTGTTATGTATGCCATTGATATACTTGAACATGAACAATTAACATTATAATAACATGACATTATTTTTAACTCTAAACTGCCAACAATTATTGTGTTTTTCTGTCTCTGGTTACGATTCCCAATATATGTATGTATCTCCATTGAATAACGGTATTCCCTAACATCCCCCCATCGCAAATTCGGGGGAGAACCGAACTGTCGCAGGTCGCCAACAAATCCGGGGGAACTCCGTTATGGTTTTGGAGCACAGGGATCAGGTGTAGAAAATTCGACAGGATGCGATGGTGAAAATTTGGGATCCGCACTTCGAACACGTTCCAAGATTGCACGGTATCCTTCTCTCTTGAGGTAGCATCAATGACAACTGTGTACGCGAGTGTCCACCATGGAAGAGCTCTGCAGGTGATTTTCCTGTTAAGGGGTTAGGTGTTGAATCATAAGCTAATAACTTGTTGAGTATCCATTCTCTCAGGGAAACTCGAAATGGGGTAGGTAAATGATAATCCGGAACAAAGATCACAAAACCTTCCCCATAAATTTCATTTATTATACCACAGACAACAGTATATGTTGTCTGTGATTATACAGAGATATAAATAATCAATGGCGACATGTTTCGGCAAATGCCATCGTCAGGCCCTAGAATTCTAGGTATCTATCGGTATCAACCAACTTTTGTTTAGAAATGGTCCAGCGAAGTCAATGTGTACTGATTCCCAGATTCCGGTCAAGGACTATATTCACTCGGGGGAGATGTTTGATTTGCTCGATAAACATCACAATTTCTTATCTTAGCAACGATGTTTGAATTTATTTTTGACCACCAACAGTATCGTCGTGCCAACTGTTTCATTCGGACAATTCCAACGAGTATTTTTTCTCGTAATGACAGGTCTGGTTGTATCTTGACTCCATAGTAAAAAATCTTTATAATTCGTAAGAATAAAACTAGGCTGCTAAAATCACTATTAATACTGTGATTTGCAAGTTTCCAATCAGCTTTGTCAAATGTAAGGTACAACTGAGTATCATCAGCATAAAAAATACTTGTGCAACTTTTTTTATTTTTCAAAATCAGAAATGTATACAGAGAATAACGGTCCTAGAATGGAACCTTGTGGAACGCCATTGATTATACTAAGCGAGGATGACACACTCATATTATTATGCACGGACTGATACCTGTTCGTTAGATAACAATGAATAAGTTTTAATGACAATCCTTGGAAACCGTAATATTTTAACTTCGACAATAATAGTTTATGGTTGATAGTGTCAAAAGCTTTTGAATAATCAATTAATACAACTACACAAGCTTTATTGGAATCCAGACCCGTAAAGATATCATTTGTGACTTTTAGTAAGGCGCTCGTTGTACTATGCACAGGACCGAATTGACTGTTAGGTATAATTTTGTTGATATTAAAATAAAAAGGTGCTTAAAACTATTGTCGTTTTAGGGCAATTAATTATACCCAATCATACGTGTATTTAAAAGCGAGTCGTATCGCTCAGCGCGTAAGAAATTGCATCACCATTTACGTGCAAATTACCGGAGTGGAAAGTTTTGTTGGTGGCGTTTGTTCCTTGATTTGCTAAAGGAGCAGTGACAATCTAAATAAAAAATCAAGTTACTGGAGTCCATTTCTTCGAGGAGACTGCAGGGGAGAGTTGCAGATTTCAAAGCACCAGGACGTGACCATCTACGACATCGACAATTTGCGAGTCGTAGAAAAAATTCCAAGATTCGACATCGACCGAATCATCAAGTTCAACAACTCTAGCTGTATAAAGAGACTTCATTCATAAGGTAAAAGACAATATTCCATTTTACTAATTAAAATCCAACGGCGTACGTAGGGAATTTAATGACAATTTATTGACGAAGTTCGAATTTAACCCGGCGACTGAAATGCTAAAGGCATATTGGAGTATCAATTTCGGTAGTAATATCTTGATTACTATCTGTTGAAATTAACCATGCACTTGCGAAGATCAAAACTTAATTATTCCCTATTATTTACCCATTTATTTACCTGAGCTAGCTGGAAGTGTAATAGTATAATTAAGGTATCGACATCTACGTCGAGAAACGAAGGGTAAGAAGAATATACACGGCGAACCATCGATAATTTGTAACAGTCCGTTACACTATCCTCCAAAGATAGGGGTAAATTGATCTCTTCTGAAATTATGTTTGTAACAGGCTAGAACAACTTTCATAAAATCACGCAATAAACAAGAAACATTTCTGCCAAGGCAGATATTTCAGATTCAGGAGCTAAAGGGACAAAATCTACCCACCAAAGCTAGAGCGTAACGATTTACTTCTCCATTACGAATTACGATTATTATAGTTTACGGTTTACTACTTGTCGAAGAACTCTCGTAACATTTGACTCCATCTGTTGATGAAAGTTAACCGGCGCCTTTTCTAAAACTTCAATTCCTTCTGTTCGGTTAACCTTTTTCGTTCGGCACGTTGGTCACAAGCTGAACTTTAAAATAAGAAGCTGTTCAAT